AGCAGGTAACCGTTCGACCTGATCACCTGACCGTATGCAATAACTAGTTTTGATTGCGTCTGCAATGTGTGGATTATTTGCCTGTGCTACATTCTTTGTGTGAAAGAAAATATGGGCAGTAACATGACGTACGGTCACTATAACTGGTTTTTTTTTTATTAAGGATTAGTTCTGGTTGTGTTAATGGCTGTTAGATGCTCTAAGCCTCTAATGGGTTATATATATGGTGTTTCAATACACAAATAGGTCATAAATTTTGGAATTTGTACAAAATGATATATGGACAAAATTAATTTGGGTTTTTCTGTAGTTGTTAACATTGCCTTCCTAAGTGGGGCACAGTTCATTTTTAAATGCAATGCAATGATGTTCTTTAATAAGTATCTATTGATGATTGATGTTCGAATTTGACAGTTTTAGTCTTGTCATAGACACGGAACTTCACGGAAGAGTCTTAAGTAACTTCTGCATGATGTACAATAATCTATTAATATTAAATAGACATACACAAAAAATTGTAAAGATATTTTTTGTGCAGTACATTCATAATTGCAGTTCTTATAACTATTACTTATCTGTATGATGATCGTCCGGGATTTTCAGATTTTAGCAAAAACTCTACCTCTATAACAATAAGTAAAAAAGATTTAACTCGTCGAGTACCGTATTTATAGACACAATTAAAGAACAATAGGTTGCGGTCGCCGGTGACCGCTTGGTGTTTGACAGTTTAATGTACAATAAAAACAATCTATGATTTCCTTGGTCTAAAGATTAACCTAAAATAAAATAAACAAAATGTGATGGTAAGTACAAAAACCAAGCATCCTACTTTAACACGAAATTGATCGAACCACCCTGTGTTGCCAGTGTCAGTATAGCAATCACTGACGAAACAGGGTCAATTTTTCCAAATTAGGGGCAACTTATAAATCTGACAATATATAAGAAGAATTATAAAAATCTGTAATCATTTAAAACTAACTAAAAATCGTGGGTTACTCACTTGAATATACTAAGAAAAGCTCTACTAGTTTCGAACCACAGCGGGGCTCTTCCTCATGAGCAGCGAGTGGGGTCTTTTTTGGTTGATTTTTAGATAATTTAGTATGTCTCACGATAGTTATTATAAAAATATCATTTAAAACCTTTCAAATCCTATCCCACTAATCCTTTTTCCTACTAATAATATTATAAATGCGAATATTAGTGAGAATGTATGTGTATGTGTTTGTTTGTTTGTTAGTCTTTCACGTCGAAAACGGCTGAAGGGAAAGGGATGAAATTGGGAACAGACTACTTTTATCTCACGGAAAGGCGGACGAAGCCACTAGCAAAAGCTGGTAATGGAATAAATAAATGTTGTTACTTAACATAATATCACGCCTTTTATCCCCGAAGGGGTAGGCAGAGGTGCACATTACGGCACTTAATGCTACTGTACAATGTAACACCCAATTTTCACTATCTATGTTATGTTATGAGTCCCATGTAATAGGGGGTGAGCCTGTATACTGAGTTTTTTTAAGACCCAGTAATACATAATGGTTTCGCATCAACCGCTTCATTTCTCTCACTTCCCTATGGTTGACTGTCAGATAATGCCTTAAGGCATTAAGTCCCCCATTCACTGTTGTCTTTGATGAAGAAGAAAGAAATAAATAAATTATACATTACCCGACCCGGGAATCGAACCCGAGACCCCTTGCCCGGCAGTCGCACTTGCGACCAATCGGCCAACAAACAGCATGTTGTGGCTTATTAAATCAAATCACGAAACACAGTTACATCCTGACTCGTGTATCCATCAAGTATTGTAGTTCCGAAGGTTGAATTTCTATAATTTAATGATTCTAATAACTATTGCAATATGAACAGTATCATTTACCTAACTATACATACCTAACTATGTATATGGATGTATGATTACATAATTATGTACATGCGATCTATGAATATTTAAAATGCCTACGTATGATTTATCGTATTTTAACACGTTCGAGGACAAAACGACATTATACGTCATCGTTCGAGATTTTAATATCGCACAACGTACGATGACGTTCAAATAACATTTAAATTATACGGCAGAACGTTCATTTCCGACGAAAGTTCAAGTAAAAATCCTTTTAAATGTATCTTGTGTCACAACATATAAAATACCCAACTCTGTACTGTCACGTAGGGTAAGTTTAGAACTATTTAAAATAAGTGTCGTTGATAGTGTGCGGTTACGGTATTCACATACGCACAACGTGTTTATACGTCCCGCGCTCCTACATTCAGCGCGGCTGTGTCACTGTGTACATTACTTTAATGCAAATTAATGATTTTACAGCGTAAAATTGATGTTTAATGGGTTATTGTGTGTTTTTAGATGGATATAAGCGCAAAATAAGACACAAGATAAGCATGTTTGATGATTCCGACATCTCCAACGAGGCGGATCCTTACCTAGATGCATATACACGTTGACGTGATAAAACGGTTGTGTCATGATATGTTTAAAACGATATTTCTTCATGGGACACTACGTACTGATACGTCGTATAATTTTGTATAGACATGTACTGTGTCATTTTGAAAACCCGACTCAAGTGGTAGCGTCCTCGAACGTGTTAATTTGTTTGCTTGGGAATCTATTAATTAATACTTTAATAAAGGTGCTGGAGTACGAACGAGTTGGTTTTTAGTCAGTAAGAGTCTGACACTCCCTCTCCCTCAACCAGGGAGAAGGCATTCGATGATTTTCCCAACTTGAAAAAAAGGTCTCTGCTGCATCGCTACAAAAAGTCGCCGTGGACGAGGGCCCTAAAGCTAGCATTTGCTCTCAACTTCACTAGCATTACAGCCAGTTAGCAATTCACGTGTATCCTGACTTTGATCTAAAAAAGTCTCAAAGTCAAAGTTAAAGTCATAGTCAAAATGATTTGGTTCATCTATCATCAGTTAATGAATTTATCGAAATCTATACAGCAGTATTGTCGCGGTGAACCTAACGGGTTACCGGGGCTCCGGCTCGACGTGCAGGAGAAGGAACGGGGTGGTTTTTAGTCAGTAAGAGTCTGACACTCCCTTCCGCCTCACCCAGGTGGGAGCAGTCATTCGATGATTTTCCCCCCTTAAAAAAAATACAGCAGTATTGGCGTAAAAACGCAACAAATACACACACATTTTGAATGTTAGCTATTATTATTTATGTAGTCAATGATGATTGATCAATTGGCCGTTTATCATCATTGCCTCTTAATATTTCAAGATGATTAAAATTGATGAACATTTTGATGGACACGTCTTTCCGTTTTATACTGGTAACTAGCTGTTACCCGCGACTTCGTTCACGTGAAATTATTCATATTTCTTGTTGCTTTTTTACGCGACAACGTGTTGATTGGCGAGGCGTATTTGAGAGCTAGTATGAAACGGAACGTTTATTGTCTACTCAAGATGGCGACTGCGGTTTGTCTGTCAGTATCATTAAAATGAATAAATAAAAAGAAATAATCTCCGTAATCCGAATTTTGCGGATATAATGTTGTCGACTCGAAGTCGATATTTTTTTATGTTTTGTTATTCAGGTAATGTTTCGGTAGAGTCTACCGTACCCCTTTACGAAATTATTAATATAGATATTACAAATTTTAAGTGAGAATCTCCAGTAGTTAGACATATATTTCTTCTTAAGTTTGCCTCTACTTGCCTCGTCGTTATAGTTTCATAGCAACAGGTAATAGTGTCTGATTCTAGTCTGATTAATTAGGGGCAGTAGTGATCTAATCATAGGAACGCCTAGCGTTAAGGATGCGCTCTGTAGTCTCTGCTTCTAAATGGTGGGGATCTTAGTTTAAATGGGGGGCGGCTCGATGTGCAGGAGAAGGAACGGGGTGGTTTTTTAGTCAGTAAGAGTCTGAAACTCTCTCCCGCTTCACGCATACGATGACTTTCCCCCCCTTAAAAACAAGACTAACTAGCTAGACACCAAAAAATATCCTCATCGTTGTTATATTAAAAATCAATAGCCCATATCTAATCTTATCCTAAGGGCCTCCCCTACATAAATAGTCCCCTACATTCATTTATGGAAAGTCACTTCCTTAAAGTTGGCAGCTGGGCATTAGAGGAATGGAAGTTTCAAATTAAAAGAATCAGGATTATCAAGACTATTTGACTGAGATTAATACAAAGATAAGGAAGTCATTGTTTTGGGACCAAATTGTTTATTTTATCTTAATTTTACCTGCATGAAGTATGAGAACGATTGCCTTGACAGCCTTAAAAAGACGAGTGAAAAATAAAAACAAAAGTGCATTGACAAACAAACCTTATCTCGTTTAAAATTAAGTGCTTTATCGAAGTTTTTTGAGTCGAAAAATAAGATTGTAATAAAGGTTCAAGCTTGTTATTTTACTCATAATAAAAATAATAAGCAAATAATATTACGTTATTTTGAATTTTAAAAGAGAAACACAACGAAGGTGCAAGCGTATGTAATTTAAATAATTTACCTAAATGTGTTATGTATCGCAGGTATAATGATTTCGAGTGTCTATCAGTGGTGTGGCATGCCTTGCCCCGTATAAAAATTTGCTTAGGGGTCCTTGAAGGGTAAACATTTCTCACAAGTCGTTATCTTATACTCTTATATTATATTATACTATTTATTTTATAAAGCGGAAGAGTTTGTTTGTTTGTTTGTTTGAACGCGCTAATCTCCGTAACTACAAGTCTGATTTGAATAATTCTTTTTGTGTTGGATAGCGCATTTATCGAGGATCGCTATAGGCTATAAAACATCACGCTACGACCAATAGGAGCTAAGCAGAGTGTGTGAAACCGCGCGGAAGTAGCTAGTTTTTACATAAAATACTTATAATTTGTGTGAACCCCGAAAATCTTTTCAGGCAACTCCCTCTGCCCTAATTAGCGGCCCTTAATTACTTTTTATGCTTAGAGTTTCACATACAATTTTATTTATTTTTCCAGATAGCGAGCGATCGAGGATGTCAGCTACAAAGTACCTGCACCCCTTCCTTCGTGGACTGAAACCCTTGCCCGAGGGCCACGAGGATGAGATTCAGCAGATAAGGGAATGGTGAGCACCTGCTATATTACTGATAATTAAATAATAGGAACCATAGGCAAATTGGGCTGCCGCGCAACATGTAGCGGGTCCGATTCCCGTACGGAGCAACTCTTTGCGTGATCCACAAATTGTAGTTTCGGTGTCATGTGTATATTGATGTTGTATGTTTGCAAACGCACCAATTTTTTTTAACATAAAACAAATGAGTGCAATCTGCACCTCCCATGGTCACTAACAATACTAGAGGGGTTTTGAGTGGTTTGTTACACATTTTGAGGCTCTCTGCACATATCGAAATTTAGATTTCTTTTAGGACTCAGTACTGACTCCAAATAATGTTTGTCAAAGACCTTCAAATCCTGAAGAAATGAACGTACTTATTCCTTTTTAAGGTAGTCACATGCTTGTAAGTTTATAACTCTTCTAATGTTCGATCATTTACTATCAAATGATCCGTGTGCTCGTTTGCCACACCATAGAAAAAGGATAGATACTGTAGACATAACCAATGTCGCGGAGAACCTAACGGGTTACCGGGGCTCCGGCTTGAAGTGCAGGAGAAGGAACGGGGTGGTTTTTAGTCAGTAAGGGTCTGACACTCCCTCCCGCCCGCCTCACCCAGAAGGGAGAAATCATTCGATGATTTTCACCCTTAAAAAAAAAGACAAAACCAATAGGGTAGAATCCTAATTTTTATTTTAATGTCCATCTGGTGGATTATTTTTAAACACTAGACACGTGTTTTTTCTGTTCTTACAAAATGAAATACTTTCGACGATGTATTGATTTGAAATATCGTGCGACGTCACGATTTACTAAATTTTATAGGGTAGCGTGACGTAACGACCTCCCACTCCTAAACTTAACTTCGTTTTATCTAAGTATTGTTTTCTTAAACCTACCACGTAATAAAAAATATGTCTTATATTTTTTCATTATTTAACTGACGGACTAATTACATTTTTAATTTTCATACACTGTCTACCCTATCGGCTAGTCTTAGTAAGACTGGCTTATCTATAAGACATATTATTAAGACTTCAAAATTCCCAAGACATTTATTCATGTCCATGAGACGCACCGGACTTCAATGTTCCAGTGTTTTCATGGTTGTATCTACTGTAGATCCTGGCTTACAGGAGTTGTAGCGGTTTTGGGACGTTGTGGCGGGCTTGTCGCAATAAAAAAGACATATGTAATATAGTTGAAGAAGATTGTTCTTGATGGTGGGTTCTCAGGGGCGTGAAATAACGTTCGACACACGAATGACTGTAAACTGTATATATTGGGAATAAACTAAATATAAAACAAAGTTGCACAATAATATAAAAACTCAAAGAATATTCGCGGCACAAATATGGGCGTGCGTCGCGGCTCCGGCGCGGGACTCTTTGTTCTCTAGCGTCGAGCGATCAGTGGCGGGGAAGCGGGGGGAAGAGGAAATAGTGTGGTGGCGCGTTGCCACTAGAGTAGCGCGCGTGCGTTCGACACAAACCAAAATCGAATTGCCGCGTTACATCCTCCCCCTCTGACCTAGACATAGCGCCCTCGCGTCTTGGTCAGTCTAGAAATCGCTTGTGTTTTCCGCGCCTACGCTTTTCGATAACAGGCGGAATCAGTACATCGCCCACGAAAGGAGTCGACTGTGAGACGCGGTACTTACCCGAATTCTCGCCACTATGTAGTTTACGACGTGATTTAGACCTCGGAGTCTCTCCACGGGGCGCATCGTCGCTGCCCTGGGTTTTTAAAAGCAGATCTCCGGCTCCTGCGGAATATTCCGGCGCAGGGTGACGTTTCTTTCCAGAGCTACGTTTCTCGCTAACTCGGTTCTTTTCACGGACTTTACGAGCGTCAAACGGCGCGTTTGACGTACGTCGTAAGTACGGAGTAAAACTCATAACGGTGGGCCGTTCCTCCGGGCCCTCCCCCTGCATTGAAGGTGCTACGAGAGTAGATGCCAAACGATACCGTTCTCGGCTCGCGTCAGACTTTAATCGAAGCCGGGTGTAATCGGTTGAATGTTCTTCCTTTGCGGAGCGGTTAGTTATATCCAACAGAGAAGCAGTTAACTTTGCCCTCTGGTCAACCGTCAGCGCGGTCGGCTCCATGCTATCAGTGGTAGGTAAAGCGGGGCTGGCAGCAAACAGATGCCAACTTGACTCGTCGTTAAAACGCCAGCTGCACTGTGGTAAATCCAACAGGATATTCGCTTTCATAATAAAATTCCTACCTAACAGCGTCCTCGTTTGTGCATTCGGTAGCACCATAAACGTAGTGGGTATCACGCGTTTTCCTAATATGACGTCGACGTCACACTCAAGCGCGGTACGTTTCTGCTGAGACCCGTCGGCAAGACCTACGGTACGTACGACCGTCCTAAACATCACGCCAGCTTTAACGAGCAAAGCGTGCAGCGTAGGGCTCGCGATAGAATGTGTGGCCCCCGTGTCGAGTATGGCCACACCCTTACGGTCAACGACCTCAATACTTATAAGCGGTTGTGTATCATTATCACTCACGCCTACAATGTAAGTACTGCAAAAATCTACTTTACTTGAGTCGGCTGTACTTTTGCACTTATCGCATTTTGAGCGCACTACTCCCAGCTGGCCACATCCGTAGCAACGTAACTGAGTGTTATTATTATTATTAGAAGTATCTTCCTTCTTATTACGACAGTTATCAACTGAATGCCCGAAAAGTTTACAATAACTACACTTCGGTCGCGTACGTTTTCGTACGTCACTATTATTCTTTACATTAGACGTGGAGGCCTGACCTAACACGGCCGCATCACTTAAACTTACTAAAGAACTCGCGCTACATGACGATTTCGAACTTACGGGTTCGGCGACGGTTTTCGAAAGCTTAAGACTCGGGTTTGTGTCAGAACGGTCACGCGCGGCGCACGAGTCAACAGAATTCGTATTATTATTATGAGTGGGGGAACTTACCTCCGCCAGTGACTCCTCGACTAACCTGACTTTGGTGATGAGTTGCTCCAGCCCGTCGAAGGAATCACGACACACGCGTTTTTTAATCCTACGATCTAACAACCCGTATACAATGTCCAACTTCATTACCTCCGGTACTACGTACGGTAATTTTGATAATAAAGCGCGCACTTTACAAATAACTACGTCGGCCCGTTCACTATTTTGTTCGGTAGCGAAAATGTCTCGAAGTATTTTATAACCGGGTCGCGGCACTCCAAACATCCCTCGAAGTCGTTGTAGGGCGTCGGTCCACGACGTGACCGACGGCTTCACTCCTTGCCACCAGACGGCGGCCTCGCCCACCAGCAGCATCGGGAGGCCGCGCAGCGCGTGCTCGTCGCTGACGTTGGTGCAGTCGCGGTAGACTTCGATGGCCTCGATAAATGCTTCGAGCTCATCCGCGTTCCTCGATGATCCGTTAAATCGCGCCGTGCATTTCGCGAAGTTACCTGCGCGCGGCGCATGCGTGTGTGCGTCGGCGGCTTCGGCGCGCGGCGATGACGTAATCAGCGGGTTTTGGTTTCCCGCCAAAATACTCTCAATCAGAACTCTGTTTGCTTCCACTTGACTCCTAGTGATGTTAGAGACAAGGGTATTTAGCATATCTTCCGACATTGTAATATTCGGGGACGAAATCACGGTTCTGTTTATCTCGACATCTGTGTCGGTATCCGATCCCTCATCTCTTCCAGTTCTTCTCTTCGGCGGCATGATAACAGGCAATTCCAACTGTTACTCGCTCGAAGAGCACGGGTGATGATTTTGAGGATGGTAGCTTCAACGAGTCGGTAGGTATATACCTACAGACGCAACCGGCGGCACGCGGAAAATGGACTCGCCCAAGTGTTTTCACTTTCGTATTTGCACTGGTTTTACAATAGTTTTCGTGTGATTGCACTATCGGAGAGAGTTCACAATATGTGTTTGCACGATAGGAACACTAGAACTTGTTGTAAGTTTGAGTTTTTATGCACAGTTCGTTCGTGGCCGCAAGTTGGGCGTCACTGTGATGTTGTTGATGATGATGATTCTTGGTGGTGGGTTCTCAGGGGCGTGAAATAACGTTCGACACACGAATGACTGTAAACTGTATATATTGGGAATAAACTAAATATAAAACAAAGTTGCACAATAATATAAAAACTCAAAGAATATTCGCGGCACAAATATGGGCGTGCGTCGCGGCTCCGGCGCGGGACTCTTTGTTCTCTAGCGTCGAGCGATCAGTGGCGGGGAAGCGGGGGGAAGAGGAAATAGTGTGGTGGCGCGTTGCCACTAGAGTAGCGCGCGTGCGTTCGACACAAACCAAAATCGAATTGCCGCGTTACACATATTATTAAACCTGTTGTCTACCAAAGCCGTTGTACATGTCATTGATTTCATCTCTATAATATGTTTCACTTGTCTTTAAGATGTTTTCTGGCCCTCTTCTACGATATACAGAACGTGTTTAACCAGTTTTAAAACCAGACCCTTCACAAGGCCGTGTGTAGTTCACGTAATACCTCGTATTATGTCATAACTCGCGACTATAATTCAAACAATAATGCGTAATATTATTTAACTCGTCGAGTACCGGTTTTATAGACACAATTAAAGAACAATAGGTCGCGGTCACCGGTGACCGCTTGGTGTTTGACAGATTAAAGAAAGTGTGGTAGTAAGGTCGCTTTTCCCATGACTAGGTGCGACAGTAAAGCTCTTGATTTATGACCGAAATAATTTCTCTATGTTAATTTTTTATGTTCCGGTTTTATTCAATGGTTTGTACCTACTGGGAAATTACTTAATATTATATTTTATGTAATTGACGTTTTTGTGCTGTTAGTTTCCATGCGAACTGTGGAATCCAAACTAATATTATAAATTCAAATGTAACTCTGTCTTTCTGGATTTCTTCACGCCTAAACTACTGACCCAATTTGTGTGAAATTTGGTACAGACATAGTTTGAAACTTGAGAAAGGACAAAGGATAGTTTTTATTCCGAAAATCCCGTGGGAGCGGGAAC